TGAGTTTATTCAAGGCTTGCAATATAAACATAAGACACAGTTATGTGGTTTACTCATTACCTACGGTCTCCATTGAGGTTAAGGAAAATGACATACGATACCCTTAAAACTTTTTTAAAATTGAGATGTTGCCTGGTGATGGTAGTTTTTAACAAGCTGTTGTTTTCAAGGTATAATTTACTGTCCAGTCAGTTGCCTAATGTTCTTTAGTTTGAGGATGCCATTAATGTGCAATTTTTCATTGAATTCTGCTTGGTACTCATGAAAATTTGGAGCTCTGCGTAAAACACTCTACCCCCACCCCAACATGTATTTGGTTACTATCTGGAATGACACTGTGCTTCCCAGCAATCTTAATTTAGATCTGCAGCTAAAATAATATATATAATATCTATACTTGTAGATGATAATGTAAGATGTAAATATAACTCAGTAACGATATATCTTAAGGTATTCAGCTTCTATGTGTAACCTAGATCAGACTATACAAACTTAATTAAAGGCATTTCTAATAGCCACAAGCTGAGGTAAATGTAACAAATATCATGGTTCAGCAATGGTAATTAAAAATACATACAAAAAATATAACTTCTGGTTAACTCTTCATAATTCTTCATTTCTTTTTATTGAAAAAGTAAGAATGGACAATTAACATTTTCTTGGATGTTTTGTGCATTATATATCAGTTCACTATGTTTTTCAAAACTAAAATTTTTTTTTTTAACATCTTCATTCAATTATATATAATGGAGTAAGCCCCAGAACTTTGATCTTCTGAAAGTTGCAAACTTTCTTAAATTATTTTCCAGTTTTAAATTGTTGTTTAATCAACTAAAAGCATATAAATTCTCTGGAAATACAGCCAGTTTTTCACTGTGCAGGAACTCTCCTCACTGTTTATGAAGTTTGGGTTGATGATTTTTGTTTTTTTTTCTCTTCTGCATTTTGTGAGATTTTGTTGGTTTTAACAGGGCAGGCTTCTTTCTCCATTCTTATGCTTTAATTGTTTTGTAGACCTTTATAGATTTTTTTTTCCCAAAATGCAGATTAGAAGCAAATGCCTGTATCTACAAAGACACAACTTACAGATATCAAATTTGTCAATGTAGGTACTGAATCATGAAAATAAGTGAGCAGGAGTCCTAGTCACAGACCCACCATGTTTTGAGTAAAGGTGAGTAAGTGAAGCAGCTGGAAACGCAGGAGGTGGTAACCATTTCTCCCTTTCCTCCTCGTTCCAAGACTTAGTCCTTAATGGCCAAGTGAGGTGGGCACCTCTTCTAGAGGGGATTCAGGTCTGACTCCAGAATGCCTCTTTGCCTCATGTGGTCGCATACACTTATAAAGAAACCAGGAAATATGTTAGCACAGAGCCTTATGTTTGGGCTGTCCAAAGGGCCTTATATGCAAAGTAAAATGAAAAGTATCTCTAGCAAATTAGTTCAATTCTGTTAAATGGATACAGTGAGTATCTACCATCATGTTCACTAACAGGAATTGCTGCTGAAATCAGTCCTTTAAGAGAGTTGTGTGCAAAGGAGGACAACTCTTGTCTGTTTCTGACTGAATTAGTATGTAACAAAATTCTGCCTCAGACCAGAATGTCATCTTTTCAAAATGCCTCTGTCTTACTCTTACCTTAAACAAAAGGTTTTTATGAGTTGCCTTATTAATGCCCAGTAATGTTCTACTAAGTTATTGGTAGACGTGTTGACCACACTGCTGCCTGAAAAAGGAGAGCTGTTATTTAATAAGGCAAGTTTCTCAGCATTCTGTTTTCTAATGAAACCTGGCTCACGCATTTTTGCTTATATCCCTAACATATCAGCATCACTCTGAAAACAAGCACCAGTAAATGCCTATTCAAGCTTTTAGTAATCAGTCACCTGGTTGTTAATAATTTCTTCATTTTTTTCATTGGTCAGGAGGCACTTAAGTCTAGCAGAGCTTTGTCTATTGTTTCATTAAACTAAAAACCTAGATCAGTAGTACAATGTGAATTGAATAATTGCTTGTTATCCAAATTCCGTGCTGTACTCTTCATGTGATATTGACATGGGCTACCTGATCACTTTGTGGAGTAGCAGACGTAGAAATGCAGTTTAGTCATGTAATTTCTGTGGTACTCTCAGGACATAGACTATATAATTGACTACAGACAGCTTAAAAGTGTTAGAGTTTCATCCAGTCCTAGTAATATGTGTGTAGTCCCATGGGCTGCATCTAAGGATCATGCTAATTTTATTAGCAACTCCTCTTGCTTTAATTAAACTGTATAAATTCCCACCTGGTCACTGTTGTGCCAACACCTTTCCTTAATTTTTATTTTAATGTATAGATAATCTGTGGTTTTGGAGTTCGATTCTGATTTCCTGAATTATCCATTGTGTTTTCCACATGAAATAACACAATTTTTAGGGGTGAATAGGGTTTCAGATTGAGTTAATGGATTTGAGTGAACTTCTGGATCAAAGCAAAGACCTGTGTTTCTGAAGTTGGCCAGTTCTTTGTAGGAGCCAGGTATTCAAAGCAACTTGCTGTCCGAAAGCACCAAGCTGAACACATGCTGTTGAAAATACCTGCAAGCAAGCTCTGTATTAACATTTGCTGTGTTTATGCCACAAAGCAGAGGGATGTGAATTCCTTAGTGGACTGTTAATTTACACGTTATACGCTTTCAAATATTTCCAAAAGCAAATGTGAAATGATTAGTAATCTGTTCATGTGCTCACAAAATGTTATTAGAAAAATGCCTTGGGCAGTATGTTATGTTGACTAAAATTGATAATTTTGTATTTTAAAACTAAAGCAAATTCTTCTGCCCCAAACAAATCTTAGGACCTGCCCAGAGCCCAGGCTTCCTGGTCACAGCAGTTCTCAAGGTGTATGTTGCACTGAGGGGGGAAAAGGCCAATACCACCTCTCCCACCAAGAGCCATGATCTAAGGTTTGCAGCAATTCTGAATCTTCAGAAAGCCTCACTGGAAGTCTTCTGTGGAGTCCTGCAGTTTAAACTGACTTATCTATAAAATCATAAGGAGGTGATTCTGGCATTTACCATTCATTCTACCTATGTAGGTTTGAAAGTATGCATGTTGCTCTGGAGAAATCAAACACGGTTCTTCTTTTTACTTCTGCATAATTTTCTGTCTTTAGCTGTGTGCAGTTCTGACAGACCCAAAGTCCTGGACAAAATATCTCACAGTCCTGAAAGACAGGTTGAGGTTGTTCTTTCCTTTTTATCTCTTTCTTTTTTTTTTTTTCAGTTAAAGTCCAAAGAGCAAGCTGTTTAATGGCATTTGTCAATGTATGTCTTCCTTGAATAATGGTTTCCATGCCTCACAGACTCAAATATAACATGACACTTCCTCCTAAATGCCAATTATTCTGTCCAGAAGTGCTGTCCAAGAGTCTAATCCTCAGAGTTTCACACCAGATCCCCAGAATAAAGAATATGGGGCATTAAAATTCAATAAAAGCTGTTGTGCTATTAAGACTATACAAAAAGCATATGCACTAGCTGAATATTGCCTGTATGGTTGCAACATACTTTCCAGCAATTTACATTTACAACTATGAAGTAATTGAATAAAGAAATGCATCATTATTTTCTTTTTTAGCACATAGGCGAATTATTTTGCCAACATGTGAAGGGGTGTTCATATAACATCACAGTGCTTTGTGCTAGAGAAAAACAATTACAGTGAATAAGGTAGAATGGCTCTGTTATTGCAGTACATAAGACTTTGATTACATACTGCCAAGATTCATACCAGCCTAGTAGTTGTTGACAGATAAAGTAACAAAAATGAAACTCATTTATTTTTTCTTTATTGAGACCTCAAGGTAAAGCAAATTTTCAGTTCTTGTACTTACTACATTGAAGGAACAGAGACTGACAGTCAAAATGTGCCAGTCCAGAAATATAAATTAAACCTAGTTTCATATCAAAGTTTCATTTAGTCTCTGAAAAGGAGCTGCTGCTTGGATTGTTTTTGATCCTAAAACAAATACACTGCAGACTACTATAGTGTATCTTGGATGAATTAACCCCCTTGTACTTTTAGTTCTTATGTATTTTCCAGGGTATAGATCTATGTCTATCTAAGCAATTTTAAAATTTGTTATGGACTTAATTATTTCACTTTTAATCTCTTCAGTGATAATTTACTCTGTTTACAAACCAAATGAACATGAGGATGTCTTTAATAAAGTGTAGCACTTTTGCTGAAGGAATGATACCTTTTGAGGAAGAAGCCCTCCCTCCTTCCTTGTGTAAAGAAAAGTATTTTGGCTTTTACAGAGAGTTCCTCTAGGCAGCTAGAATGCTGCATTATTCCTTTATAAGTCTAACAAATGACTTTTGTTTGTAAACTTGATTAGCTTCTAAAAAGCAGATAAAACTAGCTGTTGAAATGGAAGTGCTAAAATGAGTGGTTTTATCCCATCAAAATCATCTTGTAGTTACCTAGCCCAACTGAACATAATTGCCGTTCAGATTAATGAGGCAGTATTGTAGTATCTCCTCTGTAATTAAACACTTCTATGGTTGAATACAGTATTAAAGATGCACCAGACGTTGAAACCTCAGTGGTGAAATTTAAAACTGTTGAAATTGGAGGGGTCAGCTGTGAAACACAAATTCCTCTGCAGCATGGTAATTCACTTGTACAATGTGTTTCAAGAAAAATTTGTCTTACGTTGGGGATGCTGCATTTCTTTAAATTTTCTTATCATTCTATCATCTAAATTTGACAATTTTTCTCATTAGTTCCTGAGCAAAAGTAACATAAAGTGCACTTGTTTCCAGAATTACCTTTTCTGACCTTTCACAAGATGATAATTGCAGTACTAGTAGGCTTAGAGGACTTGTTTAAAAAAATTAAGCTTATAAAGTAGCAAAAAATGCCCCTTTACTTGCTGGTGTCGATTTCGAAATTAACATTTTGGTTCATGTGCTTCTAATAATCGCTGACCCTTACTTCATGTGCTTTCCACAGGAAATGAATACAGCAGAAATTACTTTGACCTGTTGATGGATGAGGAAATAAACCCAAGGCAGTGTGGGATGGAGGTCAGTGAAGAAGGTGAGGCAGAATTAAGTATGTAATTTTGGTGTCAGAATATTCTTTTCCATTCATGAAAATGAGGTGACAAAGATCACATATGCAGTTCTATTTAAATATTGAGGTTTACAATTTAAATTATAAGCCTTAACCGCTCTGAACAGGATAGGCAGTATACATAGTCTTTGATCAAGGACAGTGAGTTAATGGACGGGTAAAAGTGGGGCTGTGCTGTGTTCACTTCATTACCATAGCAAAATGAAGCTCGCTCAGAGAACATTGTCTGCGCCATGTTCTCTTTAATTAACGAACTTAGGCCAGAGCTGAGTACTAAGCTGTAGCTTTTTTGCAACCCAGCTCCCAAAGTCCTCCTTAAAGAACAATTTTTGTACTCGGCTGAAAGTGCGTTTGCCTAACAGAAGGAAACCCCAGAGTCTGTAACAGTTCCCAGCACATGAGGAGGCTTTTTTGGATTTCTTTCTGCCGGTTTAGCAGAGATGTTTAGCTTTGCTGTCTGTGAGCGATAGTGAGGAGTGGAGGGTGTGACTTTGCTGAGCTGGAAGAAGTTATCCATAGGTATGAGAAAGATTAACCAAGAGGTATTGTCTAGCGGAGGAAATTCTTTCGCTGTCATGGCTTTCAGATAAAAAAGCGGGTGGGAACGGGCCTGCCTGAATTTGCATGGACTTAAGTAAGAACATCATCGCTGTAATGAAGTGCTTAGCTATGCACTGAGTGCTTTGGCCCAGCTTCTTTTGTTAAGCACTAACAAGGTGATAGCACGCAAGACCCAGATTTCCTCTGTTGCTTTCATAGCGCTTCACATTTTTAAACCTTGTGCTATGTATACTGCAGCAATTCTTGAGACACACAGTTGTTAAGTCAAATCTAAAGAAACTTGTCTAGCGAAAGAGTCTCTGGAAATCATGAGAAACTTTGAGTAGGTACGGAGGTTTAAATTTTTGAGGTAGAAACGTGTGACTGAGAAAAATAGGGTCTGATGCATGTCACTAACTTTAATTTTTGTGTTCTGGAGAAAAAAATCAGGGTTTATCAAGAGTGAATTACAACTAACTCCTGACCCCTATATTTCCCCATTTTCTACACAGGACAGCAATGAAGCCAACTTCTGGCTCAGTGTTTAAATGAAAGACTTTTTTTTTTTCTGTTGGTACTGCCTTGCTTCATCTTATGAATAGACTTCATTGAGTCATGATCTGCTTCATAAGCAGCGAATGAAAACCAGATTAGATTTCTGTAACTACACGTGTGCTTAAAAACATGTACAGGTAGAGTGGTGACATAAGGGATATAGGGAAGTACAATTTTCTGTGGGAGAAGATGTTCTTTTGTCTGTGTTGAAGGGGTGCGATACATAGTTAACCTTATTTTTTTATTATTTTAATTTTTTTTTATTTAGAACACCTGAAGGCTCTGAGAAAGTCTGTAACTCTATCCATTTCTGGGAGTGGGGTTGAAGAGGTGTTTTTAAGCACTTGCCTAAAGACTAGACATGAGATCCAGATGTGAAAAGCTGTCCTTTGGTGTTTCTCCTTTTTCTCCCCAGCAAAGTTGTCACCCAAAGGTTGGGGTAACACTTGTTTATTAAAGGTTTATTAGCAATGGTGCTGGCCTCAGTTTGGTTGTGTTTAAATCTGCAGAGCAGTTGTAATGTTATATTTTCCAAAACGATCTAAATTTGTCTGCCAAAAGCAAGGCTTTGACCTTGGAGATATGCAAAAGCTGTCTGGACATGGTCCTGGGCAACTTGGCTGTAGCTAGCTCTTTTTGACTGTGGGGGTTGGACCATATGACTTCCAGAGGTCCCTTCCCACCCCAGCCAGTCTGATTTAGTGATACTCACAAACCAGGCTCATAATTTGGTTTCCATTTCTTTGCAGAAGTGTTAAATAAATGGAACTACATTTGTATGTAGTGGGCGGAGTTAAAAGCGTAGTCAGGACTGAAGTCTGGTCCTACATGTTTATCTCCTGATTGGAAACTGTATTTGTTTACTTCTTCTTTCCAGCTAGCAGCTTGTCATTAACACGACAAAATCAGAACAAGATGGAGAAATCAGGGCACACTTTGAAGTTACCCTCTTCTTATGACTTAGGCAAGTCAGGCTCAATGCCCAAATAGAATAGGTGGTGAAAAGCAAATCTTCAGCCACTAACTCCATTATACAAAGTTAAATATACTTTTAATGTGTTCATCATATGGGATTCTATAATGGGTTATTCTGTGGGAATGAAGATATTGGCAATTATCTTTTCTGTATTTGATAAATTAAATTTATTCTGGAAACTTGAGTTGATAATGCCCTGAGAACAAACACCACCTCACTATGAATTTGCTTCCCCCTCATCAAGGGAACATTTCCATGCTACACGCTCAAAGAAACGTAAAAGATTCTGTACTTGCAGAAGAGATTTGCAAAAACCTCCCTCTCTGAATGTTAAGTATAACTGGAGCACTCAGCTTTGAAATTTCAGGGTAAAGAAAACTTATTCTTTGATACTGTATCAGGCACTTAAAATGAGCCACACAGGGTTGCTTGTAGCTGTATTTCAATTCACCTACCATGTATGCGTTTCTCTGTCCTACTTGCCTGTCTCCACTGACAACTTAGAGAAGCCAGGGTCTGGGAGATCTGGACAGTCTCAACTGATCATTTCTCCCTTGAAGATATACACTTGAAGTGATTTTCTAGGTGCCATGGAAGAAGGTATGTGTCTATGTGTCCCTTGTTCCTTTTTAAAATCTGTAAATGTTGCTGGGAATTTGAATGACTGACCAGCCAGGAATTTAAAATTCGTTGCATGCTGTAATGACTACTCATACTAGAGAGTGTGTTAGTATTATGGACAGCAAGGTAAAATTTCTAATGCAGATCCAGAATCACATTATAGAAGAAATTAGGTACTTTGACTTTTATTAAGAGTCAAATGGAATTCATCTGGTAATTTGAATATAAATGATAATTTCAACTAGTCTATTAGCAGGTTAGTAAACCAATTTCAGTTCAGATCAAGTTATTCCTCACAATTTAAAAATATATAAGTTTCTTTTTTTATATTTTAAACTGTCTTTCAGGACTCAGAAGAAAATGACAGTCACCTCTGATGAAGCTATCACTGTGAAAACTATTTTAAAGCGTCAAATGGTTTACTAGGTTTTGTGCTTTTATAATAAAAAATAAAAGTTAAAACAGCGTTTCTTGAAATACTACTGGAAGAAACAATAGATAATTTTCTGTTCTTTTGGTTTTTATTTTAAGATCCTGTGAAATTTGATGAGCAAATCCTCTATGGTAAATTGATGAAGCTTCTAGATGAAGAAAACATAATGCTGGACTTACAAGGTAAATAACAAATATTTGCATAAAGAAAACTAAAACTCTTGAGTCTGCATGTGGGGAGGAGAGTGGGTAATCTATCCCATTGAACTCAGAACCAAAAAGGACATTGATTTTAATGCGAGCCTGTAAGATCTTTTTTGCCCAAATGTTTTTGTTTTGAGTCATGTTTATGTGGTTTTAAGTATCACTGAAGTGAGTGCTTTCTCTAGGTTACTTAATTACATGTTGAATTCCACTCTTATGAAAGAAGACTGGAAATATCATTGCTAATATGCTCAAAGCTAGAAATCTAAATTATTATTTAAGTTCATAAATGATTGGATCATTTGTCAGATACACGGGTCACATCACGTACTGTTTATCTACTTGAGGATTTACATTAATAGGTAAGAAAATGTTTTCTGTGGCTTTGTTATAAAATACTAACTGATGTTGCATCTGCATTAAAAACAACAAAGTCTGAGAGAAGAGATTTCTTTACCTCAAGCCGACAGCCTTACTTTGGATTCACTTATTTTTACAGGCATTATTTAGCACCCAGCTGATTCACGAGACTGTCTCCACCACAGCCTTTAGAAAAGCTGCATGTCTGCTGCTCTCATCTGGTTCATCCTAGGAGAAGTAACATATGAACAAGCCCTGGTTCAGTGATGCCCTTATATGTTTGCACCCCCACCCCTCCTTTTTCAGTAGGTCTTTGGTGCAAATATATTCTCTGGGTTGCTTTTTTTTTTTTTTAACCTGTATGAGGTTTCCTGTTATATTTCAGTTATATTCAGAGAAATACATAAAAATACTGTCAGAGAAACAGAGTGGACAGTTGCCTACAGCACTGGAGCTCCAGAAGCTGCAACATGTTTTATAACTATATAGTTTGTGAGCAACTTTATTCTAGAAGAGGCAAACATTTTCATTTGCATAGGATTGCAAAATCCCTTGAACTGGCACTGGACACAGTAGTACTGTCTTTGAAACCTGTTTTGCCTCCTTTTAGATGCGAGGAATAAAAAAAGTACAACTATCACCAAATTCCCTGCTAAATTCATGCAGATACCTTAAGCAAAATTCTTTAAATAATTATTAGCAAGCTCTCTATTTTTGTATGTTACGTTAAAGCTCTATGTTGCTGAGAGAGATTATAGCAATGCTGCTTTTATCCTGCAACAACATAGTTAAAATAAAACCTTGTTCGGCTGTGAAGCCAACCTTACTTTTATAGGAAAGATTGACATGGGGTGTCTATTTGAGCTACTTATGTAGTCCCTGTTTACCAATATTTTTAGCATTTCATATTCCTTAATAACCCTGTATGATGAAGGAAAATGTCGTGATGTCATTTTACAGGCTGCCCCAGGGTGGGGTCCAATACCTTTTCCATTAGCTTTCTGAAAGACAGCTTCTGTGGCTCTCCCAAAGTGGTGGGAGAGAGAAGCACCTCTGGGTAGTGGTTCAGTCCACCTCATGCAGACACCTCTTAGCTGATTAGACAAATTGTGCCCTGGAAGCAGTTCTTCTCTTTCCTTTGCATATAGAAGGCTCTTGGATAGCTCACTTAGACTTGGACAAGCTAAAAGCAAGTGAGCCAAGTTGTACCATGAGTACTTGTCTACTTGTAAGCAAGGGAACCAGGGAATAAAGGGAAAGCCTTCCCCATATATCAGTACTTACTTTCCTTCAGTTAGGTGCCCTAAAACCTCATCTTACATTGCAAATAACATTAATGAACATTGTTAAGATGAACAAACAGATGCTTTACAGAGGATAATAGAAAATAACATATTTAGAGAGAAATCTGGTTTCACGGATCTCCGCAAATGTTTATAATATGAGCACACCAGGTATGTTTGAACTAAAAATGTCTTTTTCTCCAACTGGTTTTATCAAACCCCCATGAAAGGCAGAATGCTTTTATTACTGTTAAGCTATGTGGGTGAGAGGCATCCAAAGCCATGGAACATACATCACTCTGTGGATGGTGATCTTGCATTGAGGCTGCCAAGGTTGCTGAGCTGCCAGCTCACTGATTCAATTCAAGGGCAAGCAAATGCATTAACATGTATGTCTTGCATTCCAGGTGCATGTCAGAGCCCCCCATGTAGGTATGAAGGCAGCGAGTGATGGAGACACCACAGACTGCTGCTGTCTTGTGTCTTGGGCCTCAGTGCTTTTATTTCTTAAAAATACCACAATGGGTATCAGAGCTGGTCCTATGGGTTAATATTACGCCCTGTCCTACCTGAATTTTTCACTTGGCTTGGCTTGGGTGAATAAAACCCAGGAAAAAGCATTTTTTTTTTTCCTGAGAAAATGAGGCTTGTGCAGTCTCTGCCTCTGTGTGTGTATATCACGCTGTATTTATTTCTACCTGTGTTTCTCCCTCCCAATTTTTTAACCTGTTGTTCACTTCCAATGCCCTTGTTGTTGTTTTTTTTTTTTTTTAACAGAGAACAAGTCTCACAGGTCTGACATCCCTACCAGTTCTATGAAAGTGGGCAGCTGAACAGAGCAGACAGGCATTATTAATGTCTCCACTGAGGGAACGCTAATATGGGAGTTTGACCCTTATTAGACATCAGAAAATCCATAGAAAACTAGGATTCATTTGGTTCCACTCTTATGGAACTGCTTCTTTTCTTCATTTGACCACTGAGCTGAAAAATCACGTAGTCATACAGTTCTAATTAATAGATCATCCCCAAAGGAAAGAAAAGAACATGGCTCAGAATTTATATAATTGCATATTTAAAGCATTTTGCTGCTGAGTAACCTGTTGGTCACTCTTGTGTTATGTGTTAGTTCATATTATACAGCAACTTAAAAGGCAACAGTGTTTCTTTAGAGAAGATGTAGACCAAACATCTCTCAAACCATATAAGATTGTGATCCATGTGCATCTAAAGTGATGCTAGGTGAACACCATTAAAAATACTTTCTATTATATTACTTCCTGGTAACAACTGAAAAATTGAAGTGCTATGGTTTGCAACATTTTAGTTGTCTGAAACTGAGCCTTTGGTGATGTAGTTTTTTTGACTACAATTTATACAGAGTCTTCTAGAACAAAGCAGCCAAAGTGCATTTTCCATGTGGAGTTTATAGCTGCTTTATACATTCAAACCCATGCTGAGGTCTAGTCTGCTGGTGAACCTACCCTTTAAATTCTCATTTCAGCATATTAAACCATTACTGTCTGATGGACAAATGCAGGAGTAAATGAAGATACAAGCAGCCAAATTAATACTGAAGAGATTCTTTTCATTACAGCACAGCATCCTCAAATACAGCTTGTGCTAAGAAGTGATTTAAACTACGCAGAAAGTATGACTCGCAGTATTAAGTACAGCCGAGACAATGAAAAGTTTGACGCAGATGCTAACAACTTAATGCTGCCATTTTTTTATTAGGTTATCAATCTACCAATGAATTTCCTCTTAAATTTTCAGCCATTTGTCCCATGTGTACAGAGTAGTAATATTTTTAACACAATGGCTACTTTTGTACAGCAAGGAGGTGGAGGCTGTGTTTTGGTCAAGTACTGCTCCAGGGTGGCAGCTCAAGCCTCTAACCTGTGCGTCAGTTCAGACAAGGAGCAACCTGGCTGTGACGGAGTTTCAGAGGTTTCTTTGCAAAGCCAGCGTAGAAGGAATAACCCAGCTGAACAGCCCTTTACCATTCCTCTAGCCTTCCAGTATCTCAAGAGGGGCTATAAGAATGCTGGGGAGGGACTCTTCATTAGAGACTGTAGTGATAGGACAAGGGGTAATGGGTTAAAACTTAAACAGGGGAAGTTTAGATTGGATATAAGGAAGAAGTTCTTTACTGTAAGGGTGGTGAGGCACTGGAATGGGTTCCCCAGGGAAGTTGTGAATGCTCCATCCCTGGCAGTGCTCAAGGACAGGTTGGACAGAGCCTTGGGTGACATGGTTTAATGTGAGGTGTCCCTAACCATGGCAGAGGGGTTGTAACTAGATGATCTTAAGGTCCTTTCCAACCCTAACTGTTCTATGATTCTATGATTCTACCCTCCCTGTCTTTAGCTCATTCAAAAATGAACAATTTTCCAATTGTGCTTAAATGAACGTATGTATCTTTTTGTCAAATATTTATAAAATTTGAATCATAATTTCTCTGTGTTTTTAGCAGTTATTTCCCTTGAAAAGTTTTTCTTTGAAAATGTTCTTTCTCTTCTTTTGCTCTTTTTCCACAAAGCATGTGCTAATCATCCCAGTGTCTTCCACCAAAACTGAGTTCACTTGATCTGATTCCTCACAGAAATAATAAACACAAAAAGGGTATTTTGTTGAATCACTGCATGGTCACCTTTGTGAACCACATATTTTAACTTTTTTTGATATATAATGACTATCTCTCTACACCCAAGATAGGAATGTGCAGTCTTCCTAGGATGTGAACTTGCACTGCTCCTGTGAAATCAGTAAGCAGCTGATTCATACCAGCTGAGCATATGGCCTGTTGTGTGCAGCACAGCACTGAGTGAGAACGAGTGGTGCTGCATCTTCTGCTATTGGCAATGTTTCATTTTCCAGCACTTCCTGGATTTTCTCTCTGCTAGCCAAACCCTTAGTCTTACAGTAAATTTAAATGTAAATATTGTTTTGTTTTTGCAGTTAATAGTTGTAGGTCAAATCACTTTTCATTAGGCTTGTAAAATGCTACATGAAGAGATTGTGTACCCTCAGGTAATGGTTTGGGTTGTTTATATCTACTGTACACTTCCCCCAACATGATTTCAAATTGTATCCTGTTGTAATTAAATAAAAGAAACACCCTACTTCCTGTGTGTTGGTGGCACTGAGGTGATTTAAGTACTCAGGAGGCTCAGCAATTAAAGTCATTAAACAATGAGTAGTGAGCAAAACTGAAAATGTTAATAGCCTTAGTTTTATCTTTCCTTTTCTGGTCTTCATTAGAGAACGAGAGACTTCAAAGGGGAGTGAGGAAAAAAAAATCTTTTAACTGCTTTCATGTTTTAGGATGGACAAAGAGAAAAGCAAATAACTTGATATGGCAGTTTCTTTCAGAAAAAGGCACAGAGAACTATAAAAACTAGCACAGAAATATAAGGCAAGGAATGTGGACAACCAGTCCCCATTCCACGACAAAAGTCAGATGTGGACAACCTGATATCTGTCATTTCTTAGTGACCCTGATGTGGAGAAATGAGCAAAAGGTAGATGTCCATTATCTATGACCCAAACTAGTAGTAGTTTTGTAACAGATATCAATGAGAAAATCAATATTTTTTTTCTTTAATGTAGCATGATGATTTGAACTGAAAAAAGGATACAGCTTCTCTTTAAGATTAACTTTATGAATGGGATTTCTTTTTGTTTATGAAAGGACGTACCCTTTGGTTCTGCATAAGTCACTGCAATGAAATCAGGGGAATGATGTGGGTGAGAGCAGAACTGGACCTAATTAGGCAGGAACTGAGTGCACACACCTAGAGGAGGAATCTGAGCCTCTAGGGCGAGTTGAAGGAAAATGAAATGTTCACTGTAGCTCCACCTAAAACTCTCTTTCAATTGCAGTTATTCCTCCTCTTCCTCAGGACCGAAAGTCAAAAGTTGTTCTAAATCCCAATTCCTCTAAGACTTACAGGGGAGCAATGTGACCATGGAAATGCAGAGCACCCTTTTAAAAACTATTTAGAGAACAAGCTGCATTTGCTAAATTTATACCTGCATGTAGGTGTTCCCCTTGATGACAGTTTTTCTGGTAATGGCACTTGAAACCCGCCAGTTGTTCTACTACTGTTATTTATTACTGTTCATTGTATGGCATGAATGGTTGTTTTAAAATGTTGATGGGCCAAACATGTTAACTGAGAAGGTACTAGCCAGTGAATGAACTCCTGTTTGCTAAGAGATAATCTGCCACTTTTGTTTCAAACAGAAAGTGTTGCCAGTGAGGATTTTCCAGACTCCGTGATGCCTGTCAGCTCCAGTAAAGCACATGACCTTCACAGGGAGCTTGAAGATGAAGAGATTCCTTCATATATCGAACAGTTTGAGAGAGATGTTCAGGATGACATAATTCTGCTTGGCAGCTTTTCGCTGGAACAGGTCAGAGTTAAGAACTGTAAGACAATTTTATCGCTTGCTTCATAACATGATGCTGGCTTGTTAACCTTGTACACTCCAATTCTATTTCGCTGCCTGGCAATACACATGCTGAAAGGGGAAAAGATAAACCATGTCCCTGGCTTGCGATATGTGACTGGCACTTTGCTAAGTGAACAACAGGGCCTTTATCTTTGTCTCCATTTCAATGTGCATAAAAATAGATTGCCTTCATTGCTTAAATAGTGGAGTATCTCTGACTGCTCCATAGTAAGTATTGCAATTGAGTTTCAATCAAGTGCCTAAACTTAGGACATCTCTCTGTGACAAATTTAACAGAAGCTTATTCATCTATCAGTGAGAAAGTTCAGATTGGAGCCCAGCAAGGATTTATGTAGCATATTCATTGTACAGAGGATAAGATTATTACCAAATTATAAATCTGTTGTGTTTTTTGTGGTTACAAAGTTTCTTTGGGTTTTCCTTTTGTCATTTCATAGTGTAAAGGGACAAGGCGAGGTTCATATTGACAAACGCACAAGTTTTCAGGGCTGAAATGATACTTGTGGGCACCTAACTACCATTTGTCCCTTTGAAAAATCTCATACCATGAGTAGGGGACAGAAAGAGAGATTAATTGATGAATCTATCATTTTTAATTAGCAACATGAGAACAGCGAACTGACTCTGATGGGCTTAAAATAGGTTATCCAGTGACTGGATGGTGATCTAAGCTTTCTTTTATTTTCAAAGGGAGTTTTTAGAATTTTTTCACTGTAGGACTAAACCTCATCGTTGCCATCTGCATATTGGTGAGGGACACAGTTCGCTTCCTTGCTGCTTTCCTCTAAATCCTTGTGTGCTTGTATGTCATTCTTTCTGACTTTTTTGCAGCTGTATGCAACATGCGCAGAAGTTGGTTTGGGGGGTATTTCTTAGAGAACATGAAATGGGAAGGAAAAATGAGGGAAAAGGGCTTGAATAGTACAAAGAGTGTCATCTGCCTCAGGGGACTAGTGGAGTAGGAAACTGGGAACAGGTGAAGAGGAAGAGCTGCACCTTTCCAGAAGAGTTTATAATATACACTTTTAAGTTTGGGCTATTCAGACAGCCCCAAATCTTCATGAGGCTATGACACCTGAAGAAACACAGTAGACTTGTCAATCCTTTGTTTACCCTTCCTCTAAACATGGCCTCTGGGAGGCTGTTCATCTTACTTGGACTCTTTTTGGAGGTGCTCAGCAAAGTTTGTTTCCTATACAGAAGCAAACTATCTGGTCATCACAAAACAATGTTCAGCTTTTTATCTGACAACTGTAGGTGTGAATCCACATGCGATACAATATAATGCTACTTCCTTATTTTCTTTCTGAGAAAAAAAGTCCTCAGTTAATGTGATTGAGCTGGTCTACGAATGGCTTATAGTTATGGACTCAATACTTTATACTGCACAGAAGAGGCCTTAATTGCCTGTGCTTTCTGTCCATTCCTCCCTCACATCTCTAACTTCAGTTGTCGATGCCCTGTTTAGGAATTCAATCATGCTGACATGGTATCAGCATGATTGAATGATGGCATGGTATCTGCATCCTGCAGTGAGGAGGGTAACGAGAGGGTCACTGTAAAAACTATATTGTCTTCTGGATCAGTGATGTATGTGTCTGTCCTTTCCTTGGAAGCACACAGAAATGGTGTATTCAGCTCCTTTGAACAGAAAATCAAAGGTGACATTGGAAGTAGAGGCTGCTAACATGAACCTCTTGTGTCATATTGGTATTCAAAACTATCTAACAATAATGTAAGCATGCTTATTCTTCTTTGACTTTCTTTATTCTTTAATGTGCCGTATTTACTCTTTGATCTGCAGACATACCCTTGCAGCATTGCAGTGTCAATGCCTTTCCACAGCAGCTACAGGTTCAGTGCTAAGACTGCTGCCATGGTCTTCAGAATCTGTCACTGCTATCTTTGGGATGCCTCCAGCTTTTGTAACTTGAATGTATGTCTATTGGTTTGAAATAGTCTTAAATTTGCCAGGTGGCATTTACTTCTTACCAGAAAAAAAACTAAAAAAACCTCTCTCTTCCTTCTGCAGGTTTAGAAAGTAGCACATGTACTTTAGCCAAGTGTAATTTATGATTAGTTAATTTAGTCTGCCATAATGACATAAAGTGAGCCTGAAACAAGCTTCTATCAATTTTGCTGTTAGAGGTAACATAATATTTTTAAATGTCTACCAAACTGAATAATTAACCCTGGGGCTGAGTGAAGAAGTCTAATAGATACCTCTCTCACATTCCTTTGCTTTGATAAATTGAAAATAAAACATGGGATCCCAAGGATTAAAAATAAGTGACAGTTTACAGTACATGAGGCTGGTTTTATAAGCGAGGTTCAGAAACACCCTTACACCCTTGTGTTGCTGCTGTTTCTTTTCAGGCTGCCAAAATTTTCTCCAATGAGACATCTGATTTGCACTACAGCTTTGCTGACAGTGTTGGCACAAAGAGGCCATCTATGTATTAATTATCTATCCCTTTAGTTCATTGCTTTTCTTCTCTACTTTGCAGCTTTACAGTAAATGGGTGGCGTTTGTTTAAATAGCAGCTCGGTGCATGAGATCAGTGCGATTAAAAGTTTTTGAAAGAGCAGATGCACTTTCCAAAATAATTATTTAAAAAAAAAAAAAGTTTATGCAAGATTCTGGCTCTGGAACTTTAAGCTGCATTGTTACTTACTTCATGATTTGTTTTGTAAATGCAAAAGCTGATAATAGTTGAGATTGGCAAGATACAGAAGGGGAGACCTGATAGATTCTTGTACAGAGAGCATTAAACAGATGTCAATGTTCTGTCAACACACACATTAAAGGATATTAAATTTGGAAAGCAGTACTGTTTCCTGTGGCCTAGGCCTACAGATTTCAAAAGCCTCAATGACATTTGCTTTTAATAAATTAAAATAAACTCTATTGAGAGAAAATCATAAGTGTTGTGGTAGAAGCTGGGCAGGTAAATACAAGGCTGGGTATGGAGAACGCCACAGAAAACCATCTGTCATGACACAGAGACATACTTATGGGCAGAACTTGATCTTACAGAGCAGAGAAATATGCAATGAAAGACCTGAAGCAATGCTAGCTTAAAGTGTTTGATTAGAGGCAAAATGCTCTCAAAACATGAGAGGCTGCTGAGGATGAAGCAAACACTGGTGACTGGGGATGAGATTGCACTTGATGGACCTTTGACAACATAATCTCTCCATCATTAATTCAAACGCCATTGAAAAATACTAGGTCTGTGGTTTCCAGCTGTTTCTGAACTGAGGTGATAAAAGTGACTTTCAGCTTTATGTAGGTTCTCTCAGAAAAAAAAATTATTAATGGGACTTTAATTTTGGATGGATGAATCAATGCTTTCAGGAGCATCTTTCCTGCTTAGCCATCCTCTTTCTGCAACTTGGCTGGTATTCTTAACTGAAGGTAATTTGTTCACAGTCTCCTTTACAGGATTCAGCTGTTACGTTTAGTCCTCTGTGCTGGACGTAACACCTTGCAGGACATGATCATTACAACTATATAATCAGTTTTGATCCATGACCTCAATGAGAATTACTCAAGAGCCTCTGGAAGTAAAGTGCAAGTTTTGCTCTTCAGTACCAGCAGTTGAGTTATAGTAGTAAGAAATGAGCTATTTGTTGCAGGTGGCTCGTAATAAAATGTTGCCTTTTATCAAGAGATTTACCTTTTGGTTAAACAAAGGTTAATGCCTCTCGGCAGTATACCTAATATTCTTACAGGGTGAATATCAGCACACTGACTCTTTGCCAAGTCACAGTGAGATCAATATATATGATTTTGGAGTGATCAGTTTTCTTTTGGTGACACGTAGATAAAATTTGGTACTATGTAAGACAATGACAAATCTACCCTCCAATCAGGAATTTAATCAGTGGAATTAGATCTCAGTCTCATAAAACAATGCACATTTGCCTACATGTTCTAATCTGTTGGATAATACTGTTATTTATACCCTGACGGTACCTGCAGACAACCCCTCATGAAAGTTGTGGCCTACTAAGCATCGTACAATCCTTTGTGATCATTCTTCATGAATTATAATTCTTGTGTAAATATGCACACCTAAGAGCTATGCAGAATTCAAGGTAATTTTTTCCTCAGCCAAAACCTGGCTGCTACTTTTTGACATGAGCCAAGATTTCAAAAAGACTGTCATGTGCAAATGAGTCATTTTTTTGTTTTACTGAGAATTGCAGGTCAAGAATACAAAGCTGGTCATGTTTCATTTACACCATGTCTTAAAAGTGGGTGACTTCATTTTAAGTAAGCTACTTACACACTACACTCATTATCTGAGTGTCAAAGCATCTTTACAGTTTTTTAGTATAATGGTTTCCATTTAATTTATGTGAATAAAGTAGGAATTACAGGTATCTCCATTTTACAGAGAAAGACTGAAATTCACACCATCAGAAATGCTTAACACCTAATTATTATTTTTTTTTTTTGAAATCTATGATTAGGCCAAGCTCCTCAAATTCATTAAAGTCCTGCCAGGTAGACTGCTCTTGGACTGGCAAAAAGCACTTCACTGGAAACTGTATTTGAGGGAAAATAACACAAGGTAAACTTGACAAAGCTTCAGGCTTCTGGCCCTTAGTCTTCTGATGTCCTGCCTAGTGAGTGTCCATGACCCTCAGATGTGTCAGCACCCACCCAGCAGACCCAAAGCCTGACCAAGATGTCAGTATATATAGCTAGAGGACTTGTCTACCCCATAGGCTGGCAACTTCAGATTTCTAAATATCTTTATTCTGTCAGATTTGCTCCTGCTTTCTCAGTGAAAAGCCTGGGAACCCTCCAAATTTCTAAGGTTCCTCCCTTGTTGCTCTGAACACTCAGACATACACTTTGGATTTTATTTGTATTATTTTATTTTTTTTTCTTGTTTGTTTAAGAAGTAGAGGGTTGGACTGGGAAGCAT